GAGCAGGAGGAGAAGAGGAAAAAGGAGATCGAGATGGAGGAGAGAAAAACAGAAGAGGAGAGAAGGAGGAAGGAAGAACAGAGGAGGAGGGAGGAGAATGAAAGAAAGAGAAGAGACATGTTAAAGAACGAGGAGAGGAGAAGGAAAGACAGGTCGGAAGAGAGGGAAGAGAGAAGAAGGAAGCAAGAAGCAGAGGAGAAGCGGAAGAGAGAGAGAGGGACAGGAGAGAGGGAGAGCAGAGAGGGGGAAAAGGATCAGACGAAGGACACCGTAGGAAAGGCTAAGAGGGAAGCGGAGGAGACGGAATGGTGGAAGGGGGAAGAAGAGGAGCAGGAAAGAGAAGAATATGAGAGGGAAAGAGAGGAGAGAAGAAGGAGAAGGACGATATGGAGAGGGGTAGAAGGAGAGTGCAGGGAGGAAAGAGAGCGGAATATAAAGAAGGCAATCAGTGAGTGGCTAAGAAGGGAGGCAGAAGTAGAAAAGATTATAGAAAGACAGGGAGAGGGGGGGAGAGTGGTGGCGATTGTAGAGATGAAAGAGAGAGGAGATAGGAATGAAACATTAGAAGGTTGGGAGTGGATAAGGAAAAAGTGGAAAATAATTGTAGATGAGGACCTTAGTATGGAGGAGAGGAGAACAAGATGGAGGATGATGGAGAGAGCAAGGTTAGAAAGGGAAAAGGGGAGGGAGGTATGGGTGGAGAATAAGACGATGTGGGTGGATGGAAAGGAATGGAGGTGGAGAGGGGGGAAAGGGAAGGGAAGAGAAACGAAGAAGAGACCAGCGAGTAGAGTATAGCGTACTAATTTGGAATTTGATTATAGGGAGGAGGAAGGAGCTGGAGGTGAAGGAAGGAGGAGGCAAGGGAGAAAGGTGGAGCAAAAAGGAAGGAAAGCAAGAGAGGATGACAGGTGGAATCAGGAAGGAAAGAGGAAAACAGGAAGGATGGAGAGAAGAAGGATGACAGAAAGAGGATAGAGCGGAAGAAAGAAAGAGAAACGGAGGAGGGAGGGGTATGGAGAGGGGGTGGGACGAAGGGAGGGAGGGAAAAAAAAGTGTGTAAGGGTCGCTCATGGCCAAGTCGCGGTAGGGGGAATGGAACGGACATGTAAAGGGTTCGGGAACGCTCCCTTAAAAAAGCGCCAATGTATTTCTTAGGAAATAAACCAATACATACATATAAATGATTTACATACCAGTATGTATGTCAGAATTACTTTTAGTAGTCTCTATTGAAATCAATTCTGGTACGGTTATAGCATTTTTTAAATACTGCGACAGAAAATTTGCATCTGAAAGAGAATTATCATATTACTAGTTAAGTTTCAAAACATTTTTCTGACAAAAATTTTAGTCGAGAAATGGAACCAATCAAAAACGCTCAAAAAGAGGTTTCGGAATAATGATAGAGTAAAATTTTCCTCGGAAAAGGTTTTGGAACATAACCTAGGTTACTTTGTTATTTGTTAGTAATAATATTAAAATTTCACGGGTATGCACAGAGATTAAAAAATTATTAAATAAAAGAGAAAATTATTAAGGAAAACAAAAAATTACTTGTAAGTATACTTAAAAAAATTAATGGCATATTATGTACATGTGTACCTGATTGTAATCTTGAGTGAACCTCTTCTATGTCGGTTATACTGTACACTGCATCACCAATTGTATAGTTAGCACTATACGTTTTAGCACCAGAATCGTCAGAATTCATTTTCTGTTATTTACGATTCTGTTATTCCTTCACATGGTGTCGCCATATTGTTTCCAACATGTTGTGCTGAAGTAGCATAAGAAAAGTTTGATGGAAAAAATGGCGTTTGCTCCCTAAACATGTTGAGTAGCGGTAACTAAGCGACGTGCGTTCAGCAGACACTCACCCAATAGTTGCACAACAGTTGTGTCTGCTGAACGCGCCCATTGTACACACATATAAGCATCGTAGCTACTGTACAGGTAAGTATGATGCGTGCGAACATTGTGAAGAACCGGCGCAAACTCGAATGATGAAATGCGCACCTCGAGATGATCTTTTATTAGGTTAGGGTTGGGTTAGGATTAGGGTTAGGGGGTTCCGTCGTAGCAGCGGCCGTGTACGGACGTGCGGTATAGAGCTCCCGCATAGTGGCAGTCATAGAGTGGCTAAAGAAGCTTTGCGGATAATAAAAGTGGTATCATCGTGTTCCGCGCGTGTGAATTGACTAGTGGAAGTGGAGGCGGAGTGGAGAAACTGTTAATTACGGAGAAATTAACGATAAAGTGATCTACCGCTGCTACGTGCCGTGTCACCGTGGCAAGATGGCCGGTTCCCCCCTCTCACTCGCCTCTACGTGACTGACTTTAATTAGAGATTGTGAGGAAGGCAGCCCCTTTTTAGGGCCTAAAAAGATCTTAGATAGTTTCGTGGTGGTTCTTTGGCCATGGCTGGTGCGTTTCTGTGCTGGATTTGTACGGGATGGCTACGGATACAGGACCTCTCCGTTGGAGTGGACTGCCACGTTGCATGTATGACTTGCGCCTCTCAGGCCGCGTAAGTACTCGGGCCGTGAAATTACACGGCCCGTGATCCTAAAACTATTGCGGACTGCCATTTACTGGCATTATGTGTTATCGCGGCATTATCTTTATGTGAATGTCCTGTATAATTATTGCGCGTTAGTAATTAAGTCTTGCGCACATGTGGCGGCTACATTGGATGTGAGTCGCCCTTGGCGGCTCCGCCATTTTGTGCGCTCGGCGGGCACCATCTCCGTAGGGTCGTTCCCCGTGTTCGCTGCCCGGCAACCGGGTACTATTTTTCGGTGGCATAGTGATACGCGGTAGTGTTGGAGTCATCGGTACCGCCGCCATTATAGATCGACTACGTGTCGGCTGGACGTTCGGTGCGCGGGCTTTTACTCGGTGATAACGTCGTCGCGGTGCCTCTTGGGGCTTGTTTGCGGAGCGCCCTATCGTTATTGTGAGTGTCGCGGCCGGGTGGCCTGCGGTCGTCGTGCGTCGCGTGCCTTGCGCCCCGTGTGGCGTGCTCGTCCTCGTCAAATAGACGAGTCACGTAGCGTATCGTCTTCTTTTCGCGGGTGACGGGCGATTCGCGACGTCCTGCTGGCCGCGGGGTGCGGTGGCCGCCGGCCTCTCGTGCCCGTCGGCACGGTTATTCCGTGCATTATAGTACGCGGAGTGGTGCCGCCTTGTTGGCGGCCGAAGTAGAGCGTAGCGTGCAACGCGTGCATGAAAATACGCCTTTAGGCATACGCGTGAGTGCGTGGCGATGCGCGTCATCGCCGTGGGCAGCGTGCCCTGGCCGTCGGCTCTTAGTTGTGCTAGGAACGGACGGCGCAGTCGCTGGCGGCGGCCATACGGTAGCGGTGAGCGGTATAGTACCGCCATATTAGGGTGACGTCCCATGACGCGTATCGCGATACGCGCGTATCGGGCGTATCAAATTTCACGACTAATCACGGACGATCCGCCGTTTTCGATACGCCGAATTTGGTTTCTTATGTCACATGGAGTGGATTACGCGGAAGCGGAATCAACGGATCGCCAATCACAGGACTGTTACGACGGAATTTATTAAAGATTTCTATCAGAATTGTTCCGTGATTGGCAATTCGCTCATTCCGCTTCCGCACAATCCGCTCCATGTGACATAAGGGACCAAATTCGGCGTACTGAATACACACAAGCAGATATACAGGGTGGGCCATTTTAATTTATACAGTCGATTTTTTAAAAAACTAAAAG